GTCATTGCCACGGTAAGACGTACGACGTAGGCACAGAAGTACTCCACTTTCCATTCTGAGCAAAAATCAACAAGTTGAAAAATGGAAAACGGCTTCTGCGACCTGTAGCTTCAAGACTCCCTAACAGCTGCAACTAGATTTAAAAACACTGCCGAGAAACAGTGCAGTGAAAAACTGCTTTCACACGACAAACTGAAAAAACACGTGTGGAAACTGGTTGGTTCACTGGTTTGTGAAATTCCCAGGAACGAGTCCACACAGACCTTGCCCGATTTTTTCTTCAGCAAATCAATGGGATCGGTAAAGTATGTCCTGGAAAAATCTTTGAGAAGTGACTGGTTGGTGGTTGAGCCCTACTCCTTTGAAAAATGATGGAGTTAAAGTCAGTTGGGATGATGACATTCCCAACTGAATGGAAAAAAACATGTTCCAAACCACCAACCAGATGATGTTACCTGTGTTACCTTTTGCCCACTTACTGCTGTGCAGCACCGGGGATAATTAATAAATATATTTCCGTGGGGAAAACCGCAATGAAACATTGGGATACCGAATAAACAATCCACAAATCTCCAATGATATGATCAACATGTGCCTCATCTTTCAGGAACGTGGCATTTTTGGGCAGTCCAACATGCAGTTTTTAGGGATATTACCGGCAATCCAAATTTCCCAGATTATTGAAGATCTATCCTTGTCCCACGCCTGTTTTGCGGCAATGAGTCCCCCACGGCCCCTTGAACCATGTTTTTGATCTCATGTCATGTCTGTTTGAACATGATTGCAAACATATTATATATTCATCATGCGACTCAAAGATAGATCTCCGTGGAGATTTTACAGAAAAACGTGCAGATCAATCCAAAGCCAAGACTGGAAATCCTACACAGAAGCTCATGAACTGCAGTTTCCAGTCCATTTTGTTCCGAAAACACAGTCAAGCTGGAAGCCATATTTTTTGGATGATTCCCACACAAAAAAAAACTGGAAATCAACAGCATTCCATCTGGATAACACTTCTGAAATAAGGGCTGTCCCCACCTCGGAGTAGAGGGACAAATACTCCGCCAGATATCCCACCTGCAAAATCGGATTCAACTTGGATATGATTTATAGTTGGACAGTTGGATGAAGGATAAATATATATATATATATAACTATATATAAGTTATATAAAAATAAAAATAAATAATATATACAAACATCGAAAAAAACTGAAAGGAATTGCATTCTACTCCTATTGAACTAAATCATGGTTCCCTGTTTTACGCTGGCCACTACACCGATTCTGTCAAAAGTGAGGCATCTAGGGACAACGCATGAAACCGTAGCCTTGCTTGGTGGAGTTGGGATTATTGATGGGCACAAGTTTAGAGTCTCGTATGATCATAATCCATAATAATCTACATAAGTTGGGTTATTTCTAAAAACCATTGTATGATCATAATCCACAATACAAAGTTATGGCTATATCATACTATCCACATAATCCGCATAAATATTGTAAGTTGAGTATGGTTAAATATCCATACCCTGAACTGCATCCCCACTTGTGCTTAAGTGCCAGGCTTGTTCAAGAAGGTCATTCATCGTTAGTGAAAATTTGGTGCCAGCGGATGTTTATTGGTTATTATTCAGCTGCTTAGTATATATATATATATACATTGAATATGATATATATATATATATATGTATATAACATAGTAAATAATATAGAGGGTTCCTAAGTCATGGGGGTACCGCCAAATTATCCATTTGTTATTAGTTTTTCCATAACCATCCAGCTTTTGGGGTACCCCCATTTTAAGACACCTCCATTTTTGTATATTTTTGTTATCCAGGGACCAGGGATATATCAACTTACGATTCCCGGGGTGCACATCCGACATTCCATATTGGTAAAACAAATCCAAAGATCTAGACGGTCCACAACTTATTTGGGAGCAATACCCCCAAAAAAAAACATCAATCAACCATCATGTATCAGCTGTATCCACTTTAAATTATCATCGAAAAAAACATACGTTCATGGTTCAAACATTTTAAAACACCGTTTTTCATGCTTGAAGTGAGTATTTGCAATAGTACTTTTAGCCCTATGTTTGATAGTTAAATCATGTAAATCATGTTAAATCTCAGTCACGTCATGTTATATCCACTCTATGTTCATGGGTCTTTCTATGTTTTTCTATGGTTTCTGTCGTTTCATAGCTCCGAAAAAAACAAAAAAAACAGGCCATTAAAACCGTAGCGGCGCACCGGATCTTCAGGCTGCTCGTGGCAAAGTTCCACCATGGCACCCGTCAAGGCTGGCACCTAAGACACAACAAGACACGCGAGCCCGGCGCCCCAAAGGTGATGGAAAAGGTAGTTGATAAAGACCTATAGTATACTATAGCATACTATACTATAGTATATTAGACTTAGAAGACTTAAAGGACTTAGAAATTTTATAGTATATTATAGTATATTACAGTAAAGCATAAAATATAGCATTTACCAGTTATAAGTACTTATAACCCCATTTATTGATATCTATGGAATGTATAATCCCACTTATAACCAGTTATAACTAATAAATGTCCAAAACTGTATATAGTATATTATAGTTAGAAGTTTTATTGTTGCCAGATAGTAAAATTCAAGTTATTGACTCCACAAAATGTGGAACGATTGTGCTTTTGTTCGACTTGCCATCAAAGACAGGGCATCAGAAGAATACAAAAGAAACAGAGTTCACTTACAAGGTGGAACCAGTTTGGTTCATGACCACTATACCAGTAGCTTTTGATGATTGAATATCGAACTACTTATAGATGTTGGGCTTTGTAGACCAACACAAATGTTTAGTTCACGAGCTTGAGCATAGCTAGGCTGGTGAATATGAAAATCGAACTACTATGAACTAATGGGCTTTGTAAACCAACACTTACCCTCTGGTAATTTAACGTAGCTATGGAAAATCACCATGTTTAATGGGAAAATCCACTATAAATCACCATTTTCAATAGCTATGTTAGTTTACCAGAGGGGAAATGAGGGACACCACCTTCTACCTGGAACAGGTTGATCCGCCTTGGTATACAATCTCTCTTGTCTTCTTATCTTCTATCATTGTGGAGGTCCTTCAAAAATTGCTGAAGGTTATCCCTTACGCAACAACCAAATAACTTGAAAACTTCACCATAAATATACTGTGTATCTATCTATCTATCTATCTATCTATATATATATGTGTGTAAATATTGTACATATGGGCAACTGTGGATGCTTTGTCCTGTTTTATTTTTCTCGTATGGTAAGTAGAAAATATCTTCCTCCCAGAAACCATATTTGTAAACAGCGAGGACTTTTAGATACACATCTGGCTGGGATCATACAATGCTTGTGTTTGGCAGAAGGTGGAGCCCCCCAACTAGAAGTTGGTTTACAACCCCCATCAACAACTTCGGTGTATATATATATATACATATGTACATCATATATCATCAAATATCCTCCATATTCATCATACAGGTAGTTATTGGAGACCAATAGGTATCAAGTTAGCATCCATCAACCTCCAAAATCATCCCAGTTTTCCAAACATAGTCTTCCCACCATTATCTGGTGATCATTTCCCAACAGTTTTCTAAACATCGTTTTCCCAGCATTTTTCTTCAAAATCATTTTTCCCAACGGGGAACTCCCCCTGTTTGGTACATCGATTCTGACGCCCAAGGGGCCACGAACTTCATCAGGTACAGCCTCAGGGGCTCCGAATGCTTCTCCAGGCGCGCCTCGGTGCTTCGCGCTTGGGAGCCGCGGTTGGGGTGGAAGGCATCCATCGTGATTGGATCCGTTAAAGCCGGGATTTCTGGATGGGTTTTACAGTTTTACATGGTGATTTTTGATGGTTAAACAGTGTTAAACCATGTTAAGCCAATGGGGTCATCATATAAACCATAAATTAGGTGATATGACCTCCTGACATCCATAACAGGTATAACTTTAGGCCATATCTGTAAAAGTAGTTCTGAAATGTGCAGGCCAGGGATTTTGCTTCATGGGTATAAACCATGGGGTTTGATTCCCCACAAGTTGGGGTATCGTCCCTCTAACCAAACATGGCTGGCTTGATCCAACTGTAGTTAAATAGAGGTTTCTAGCTGGGAAAATCATCGAACTTAATGCAGGATGTTCATGCAAAGCATGTTGCGGGAGGATAGAAGCTGAGTTTCATCCATGGCTAGACTCACAAACTTACAGGGGTATTTACGAATTGGCGTACTAGGATGTACTTGGTGGGATGATCCTCCAAGTGGTATATCGATATGTTAAAATCTTTAGTTTCTGATGATAATGCACACACATATACGACATCCGTGATGACATATGTATATGATATATGCATATATACATATATATAATTATATGTATATATAAATACATATATACATACATATATATATAAATATATATATATATAAATATATTAAGACACACATACATATATATATATACATTATATTATATATGCAATATACAAGTACTGTACACATGATACACAGTGTCCTGCATCACACTATATTCTGTCGAACTTCCATTGCTCCCGACCGTTTTTCCCTCAGCGCTGAAGGGCGCCCGGTGGGGACACACCCCAGAGGTCATGTGTGGCCGGGCACAGTACTGCCACAGCCGCCACAGACTTTGCACGCCCAAATCCCTTCTGGATCAGGCGTGAAGAATTTCCACTGACTACACCTGCATAGAATTGCATAGAGATCTCCGGTAATGTTGTATACTGTTGTATACTACCATAGTTAACTAAAATACTATAATGCATAATTATATATATGATTATAACTATACTATATAAGTTAGCTTTTGGAAAATCGTGCCGATCGTGCTGTATGAATTAAACTGCAACTAAAACTCACCAAAATCGGCCAACGTCCGTGCGCTGGCCGCCAAATTTCGACTCAGATCACCAACTCCGGTCGCGAGAGACTCCGAGAGACTCAGCAAATGTTGCCAAAGCGGTTCTGGCGGCACGGATCCCTACCAATCATGGGATAAGATCCAAATCTACAGGGGAAGAGATCATTATGTAGATTAGCTTGTCTGGAGAATACATATTTTCTTATGATCATTCTTTGAGTCTTTGATTTGATATCTGATATGTTTTTTCTTATCTGATCATTATCTATCTGGAAAGAGATATGGCTGCAAAGCTGGACGTTGAACGCGGAAAAATATGGTGAGCTTAGCCAGGTTGAATAATTGAAGTTCCGCGGTCCCTCTGTGTCAAGGTCAAGTTTGGTGGGATCAATGGCTGTCCTGCAGCCCATATTGTGAATGCTAATAATGATTCATAATGGGTATATAAATCCCTACAATACGGTGCCATCCCAGTTTTCTGTTTGTTGGTAAGTTTACAAGCACCAGTAGTTCCGTAGTTCCCCTTTAAACTATCAAATTCACCTAGTTACCAATCAACTGTTCTATCGTAAATGGGGGCACTGGCAGCAATCACCGATGTGGAAAACCCACGTGAAGATGGGAAACCATGGGTTTTGCTGGGTTTTTGTTCCCATCTATGCAGACGTTTACCCTGGGGTAAATGTTCAAAGATCTTCTCCAGAAACTAAGATATCCCCCAAAAAAAATCCTCGAAACACGTCTGCAAACCATCACCATATCCATGGCGACTTTGTCTAGTTAGTCCCTCAAGGCGTTTTAGCCTAACATGCTGGTACGTGACCCTTTGAGCCATGAAAAAGATCCCAATCCCATCATGCTGGTTGACTAGCACACATCCATATACTGTAATGGACTCGGGAGAACGTGTTTGGTCGCCCCAATGCAGTTGAGCACGAACATTATTAGGGGGCTTGTGAAACGTGCACAACTTCTGTGAAACGTGCGCAACTTCTGTGAAACGTGCACAACTGCTGGGAAACGTGCACAACTGCTGGGAAACGTGCACAACATCTCTGACACGTGCACAACATCTCTGAAAAGTGCACATATAGAATACTTGAAAACACTGGGCCGGGGCGGTGAAACACGTCATGCCCAATGGACTATAACAATTCCCACACCAGGTAGTACAACCCCTCAAACAACAAATCAAAAGGGGTATACCAAAATAGCTCATTTGTTCATGTGCTCGTTGTCTTTTTTTTATGTGTATACACCAAGGATCGAGTAGATTGATATATCCCTCCAATTTATACATGGAGGGGGGTAGGGTACTAGGTTTGACACAATTGTGGAAAGCTATTTTAGTGTAACACATTTACTAAAACAACAATGTCAAACTTGGCTGATCAATATCACCATTGACTTTTTCTGACTGTGAATGTCATCACTACTAATAACCCACTTGGGGCTACATAACCATAAAATGTTGTTCAGGCTTTGATGACATGATATGGTGACCATTGCCACAGTTGAATTTGTCACAGCATCTTACCCAAATAATGGTTCCTGATCGTTCCTGAGAATTTTGGGTTCACTATTGTTAACCCGACAATCCATAACTTGCCAATTGCTAACTATCACTATCATTGATTGTCAGGGCTTAGCAAAATCTGGGCTTGACATGGGTTTGCCTGGAAATAGGGCACATCAATTTTTGATGGTTAAACATAGTTTTAATGTTCCCCCCCCAAAAAATGATATTTTGATATGTGTGTGTATATATATATATGTGTATTTGTATACCCTCTAGTAATTGAACAGAACTATTGAAAATGAACATACAAAATAGTTGATTTCCCTATTGAAAATGGTGGTTTTCTGCCTGCTCCAACAGTCCCCGGCCTCGTGGTAAATCACGAAATTGGACTGGCCCTGGTACCTGCCCCGGTGACTTTTCGGGGGACCTTTGAGGGTAGCGGGCTGTCAAGGCGGCCCCAAAAAATATTCATAGCAGGTTAAAAAGGTAGGTTGGTTGGCAACTAGGCTGGGATCTATCTATCAGATCTATCATGACCTATCTAGCCCTATGGATCCAAACATCTCCTGAGAAGGTACGCTAACCCCCTCAGTCATCATACCCCAGTCACACTTCCTAAGAAAGTACGGCTGGATCCATAGGGTAGTTGGAGATTTATAAAGGATTCATGGGGCTCCCTGATTTACTGGTGACCAGAAAACCCAGAAAGCTTTCCATCATCCACATTAGGCTCAGCAGAAGGAGATCCTGTGGATGGTTGCGAAATCCTGCTATAGAAAAACGCTAAAGGACTACTTAGTATTCAAGCAGAGCATCCCCATTTCTGAAAATATATGAAAATAATTGAACATATAGTAATGTGGTTAAAACAATAATAAACCATCTCCCAGTCATCAACATAAATGGATGGTATAAACCATGCCAAAATGGGTAGTTTATGGCATTGTTTTCACCACATTATCCCTATATATCCCGATTCCCATTCTTAGTATGCTGAGATCTGTGGCAAGAGGACTCGACTGCCTGGAAACCATGGGCCAGACGGACGATTTTTCGCTATTAGGATAATGATTTTCTGATTTTCCATAGTTATATATATATATATATACATTGTAAATGTTAAGTTTAACTACTTAGCACATGTGATAACCATTTCGTTATACTTACGAGTATAGTTTTATAGACTTAGCACTTTAACTATATATATATATATGTAGTATAGTCATACTTACCCATTTGAAGTATAATACTAAGCACTTTAACCATATAAATCCACATGGTGATAAATTGCCCTCCTTGTCAGATTCTAAGATTGGCTCTGTGGTGAAGATTCACTTGGCTTCGAACAACGTTGTGGCACTATCAGCCAGTTATAAATGGGTTTATAACTCCTGAAACTGATGTTATATATGGTGGTTTCCTAAAATAGGGGTACCCCCAAATAATCCATTTTAGATTAGGATTTTCCCTTATAAACCATCCATTTTGGGGTACTCCCATGACTACGGAAGCCCCCATATCACTAAAATGGTTCATCCCATGAAAATCACCCGAAGAATTGTATGGTACCCAGGGCTGGTCCTATTGTTTTCCCATGGTTTTCCTTGTTAGATCACCATAAGCAAATGGCGTGTATATTAGTTTTCCTGAGGTTTTCATATGATTTTCCCATGGTTTTTCTATGGTTTTCCTTATTTTTCCAGGGCTTTTCCTATGGTTTTAGCCACGAAAGGTGACATTGACTCCCGACGGACTCACGCGCCTTTGGCTCATAGTGAGCAAAGCCTCTTCCTAGGGTTGAAGCCATGCTTGGTGTAGTTTGGACCATATATAGTATATCTAAAAATATATCTATAGTATACATGTATATATATATAATATCTCAAAATATATTTATAGTATATATATATATTATATTTGAAACTATATTGATAATATACATATATAAATAGTATATTTAAAACTAAATTTATAGTATACATATATATAGTATGTTTAAAACTATATTTATAGTATACATATATATATATTATATTTAAAACTATATTTATAGTATACATATATATATGATATATTTTAAACTATATTTACAGTATACATATATATATATATAGTATATTTAAAACTATATTTAAAGTACCAGTATATATATATAGTATATTAAAAACTATGTTTATAGTATACATATATATATACATTAGTATATTTAAAACTATGTTTATAGTACATAAATATATATATATATAGAGTAAATAAATATATGTACATATACTATGTATATAGGCATCTTAATGTGACTAAGTAGGGGGCATCACCTTGTGACTAAAGGGGTAAAACACAGGTTATAAAGGGGGGGTTATAGTGGGTGTAATGGGGTTTATAACCAAGGTGACATGATAAGACATAGGCTTAAAATGGAACCTGAAAGTTGGTATCCCATCACATATCTTAGTAAAAAATACATGTTGAATGATATGCGTGGGTTCCATGTTACATATATGAGGTGAAACTGACATATATATATAACATGATAAGGCCCAAAGGGTTGAATTTGGGTGTCATTTGTATAGTGATATAAATCATGTAAGCAAACTATACTGCATGTTGCCATCATCCATGACTATAGATATGTCTATAGACATGACTTATGACTATTATATCATGTACCCTCTGGTAAATTAACATAGACCCTGGCAGATAGGGGTTGGAAGACTAGTTTCCATTAACGATTGGCTATTTTCAGGGTCTATGTTTATTTACCAGAGGGTAATATTGAATCCTTATATATATAGGTATATAATACATAGTGGGGTTGTAGTCCAAATATACATGTATATATAATATGTTTAATTATATTTATCGATTTATACTACACACACATAAATATAAGACCAAATGGGTAGAACATGATTGAAGTGGGATGTATCATCCACAACATGCTAATAAGATCTTACCCGGAGTGCTGCCATTAATGGCTGGAAAAACAATTACCACGAAACCATGCGGGTTCAATCGGCCAATTCAACGTGGACAAATCAAAACAATATATCAGTTATAAGCTATAAGCGCGCTCACAACTAGTAGGGTTCCATGATTAAAACTTTCAGCGGGCAGAAATCGAATAGTTAATTCTTATTCATGTTCTTGGTGATTTTGGGTCACCAAGCATGGAACTCAACCACCATCCGCGTCGTGGCCGTGTTCTAATTATCATAATTCAGCTTGACAGCGGGATTTGAATGACATTGAATGACCATAATGTCAACTTCAACCCTGGATTAATAAACCCCTAGGCCCTAGGCTGTTTCATTGGAAGGTACCATTAAAAAAGTATCAAATCATGACTATTGGGGGAATACCGCCCGAATTAATAAACCATTGCTAATCTGGGGTTGACATTACCCATTGCTAAGCTTGGATGCTCTGTAGACCATTGGTCCCGTTGGTCCCGCCTCGTAGCAGCCGAACTTGTGACCGTTCTGCAGGGCGCATTGAAGTTCGCAAACCTCAAGTTGCTGTCCACGGTAGCCTACTGAACTACTGTAACTTGGAAGAGCCACCAAGTAGCTGTAGTGTATATAGATGATATGCATGTATCTGTAAAATATATATATATATATATTATAGCCATAGCACCGAATCGCCGAGTCACCGAATCACAGTGCTCATGTGCCGACTCCTCCCCATAGCGATGATCGAAGTCGCCTCCCAAAAGAGGAATGGTGCACGAATGGATTTGAAGCAAAGTGAAGCGCCCTTGTTGGCTTTGTGTCAAGATGCCGGACCCCGGATTATGTCCATGTTATATCCATTTTACCCTGAACACTGAAATTAACCATGATATTTTGGGGGTATATACACTGTATTTTGAGATCAGCTATTATTTGGATTCTGCAAAGTGAAGCCTTCCAGGTAACTAAGTTGGCTTAAGAAGTAGCCTAGCAGATGGGTTCATGGTATATAATATATTAATACATTACCATCTGGTTATTTAACATAGCCATGGAAAATCACCATGCTATTTAATAGGTAAACCATCTATTTCTATGGGCCATCTTTACCATGGCTATGTTGAATTGGTATGATCGGTGAACATCAACGGATTCATTGTTTGGGGCAGCGAAGGTCACTGGAAGGCTGGACTTGTTAGTCATTGCCGTGGAACTCAAAACTAAATGTAACTGGTTGGTGGTTGACCTACCCCTCTGAAAAATATCAGTTAGTTGGAGCTATGATTCCCAATATATGGAAAAATAAAAAATGTTCCAAACCACCAACCAGGTAAGTGGAATATGTTCCAATTTTGACGTGCAACCCGTTCGTTACCAAGCAAGTAATCTGGATGATTTGCAGTAGACTCAGTAGACCTCAAAGCTGAGTCCCCGCCATTATGATATTATGGATGCTTTGCCAAGGCTGAGGTTCTTGAGTTTGGCTGAGCCCAGAAAATGATACAGAATGGGCCAGAATGGGGATGGAACGTGATGGAACCTGCCAAAAAACACATGGTGGGGTTCTGCACAGATCACATCAATGGAAATAACACTGCTCAACACACAGCCAGTCTCTTTGATGAACATCAGCCATCTTCCGCATTCGGGTGATTTATGGTGTGGACATTGAAGGAACAGTCGAACCCCCAGGCGCCTGCAGAAATGATATGATGCTTTCAGTATCAAAGGATCTGCAAAGAATATAAATTCCCTAACTGGAGAGAAAATCATTCGGGGTACGTACAGTCACAATCACCAAATATAATTCAAGAAGTTCAGTCGACCATCGGGATAGAACCTCTTGCAGCCAAGATATATTGGAGGACGTCCAACAAAATACTATTGCAGTGCCTCATCTTTAGGATCCTACGTTTCACCCTTAAAAGGTGGGACCAATGCTAGCTAAGTTGATGATAGTTGATGCATATAACTAGGTGAACTATGCTGACTAGGATGGATACATCGTTAAACATTCGATGGGTTCTGTAGTAGGGTTTGTCAGAAAATAGGCTACCCCCAGAGCTACCAATTTTCTCATCACCCAAAGCTGCCATTCTGTATCCTTGTCTGAAATATGGTTACACCCCAAAATCATGCCCAATTTTTTTCACATGTCTCATCATTTTCCTGTCATTTCCCATATCCTGCCATCATCAAACACCGTGGCGCCTCCTGCATAGAGAATGGTCTTGCCATAGGAGCCGCGTTTGGAGCACATGCAGCACGTCTCCCCGGGGACACCATGGCCCCAACCAAAGCCGCTACCTTTGACAAAAGGAGATCTGGGGTAGTTGTATAATATGTATTAATATACATGTAACAATGTACATCATAGTTAAACTAACTACATAAGATTACGTACTGATTTGCTATATCATATTATATATATATATATATGTATACATGAATGCATAACCAATAACATTATTTGGGGCTGTGGAAAAAAGTAAAGGGTAGCCAAAAATCAATGGTTTGAAATGGTTTGAACATGGGTTTCATACCTGAACCGTTGTTTTGAGGTGTACACCTATTTCTAGGCAAATCCATAATATGATAACTTGTTGGTTGTGCATGGCTGTGACCGTTTTTATCAAGGATATAACCAACACACATCATGAACCCAACCATTCTATTCCGATCCAATTAGAATCGGATATATATATATATATATATCCATCTGAGCATGAGATACCCTAACAAAATCCAATTGTCTGGAAAATCATGCTGGCAGTGAACTTGTATTTTTTGGGAGAGATATGTTTTTTTCCTGACAAACCTATGTGTTCACCAAAAATATCCAAAAATTATGTAGCTACATCATCCAACCATATATTCAACCAAGATTGGCTAGAAACTGAGCCATTGTGAGCCCACTGTTTCTGGGGATTCTGCACGGCGGACAGAATGCTGTATAAATCTATATATATACACTACATGTAATTTGTAACAACTAGGAATGCAAACATGCAAATGAAACTGGTCGGACTCGGCCTGAGCCCTGAAACTAGGCTAGATCAACTGGCCAACATCGTGGATTTAGGGACAACAACAATGAACGACACGCCCAGGGGCCGCTGTAGCCGCCACCGCTGCCCCAACCACTGCCACCATGACCACCACCATGGCCGCCACCATGGCCGCCACCATGGCCGCCACTCGGCCAGGCACCACCACCCCAGGTCGGAAACCAGGCACTGGCCCTTGGTCCAACGCTGGCCATCCGGCAATGTTATCCCAAAAAAGATGGATGTTATAGATAGTTATGTTGAGCTTTTTGCCACCTTTTCCACATGTGTTGGGTGTGACCTCTCTCTCTCTATCTATCTATCTATCTATCTAGCTAGCTATCTATATATCTATCTATCTATCTATCTATCTATCTATCTATCTCTCTCTTGCTCTGCGAATATATGTCTGCATATATGTATATTATACATACTATGTGTATGTATGTGTATATGTATGTGTATGAAGAAAGGGTCCAACCCTAAATGACCATGGTGAGTTCATTAACTGGAAACCGTAACTGGGTGATTTATACAAATACCATGTATAGCCACGTATTGAACTGGATAATGAGTTATATATATATAGACACATACATGTATACAATGCATAATGGGCTCCAACCCTGTTGTTATCGCCACTTACCCAACTCGATGGAGAATACAATCATATGATAGAAAAAGTCTGGGTATCTCATAAGTCTTTATCTAAGGCAAGATAGGTTAAAACTCAAAGGTTTGGCAGGGATTAGCCCACATCTGTCCAAAAATATGGATATATCCAAATATAATATATATTTATATATGTATAATTATATATATATACATATATATATATATGTATTATATATATATATGTATTATATATATGTATTATATACTGTGTATATATATACATTGCGACGTATCGAAAAATGTAATCCAAATATATCCAGACCTTACCAATCTGGATAAATAGACAATATAAATACATAGTAATATTAATATTAATTCGTAGACCTGAAAGAAACTCTTGTTAGGTCGCTATCAATCTAGACCAATGACTCTTGATGCCCTGGTGAAGGAGGTCACGGGAAGAATGTCGATCACCAAACTACCAAATCCCGTGTATCATACCAGGTGGCGCCCTATATGGCTATATCACACCCCCAGTAGATCTCTAATCGCCAATTCTCCTAAAGGTGAAAAATCACCATTTTTATTGATCATCCACCATCCACCAATATTTGGTGGATGTTCATTTCTCCTACCCCACCTGGCGCCAAGTTTCGATTTCTCCTGGGAGCCCCGGAGTTGCGATGCGTTGCTGGCGTTGCTGACGTTTCCGAGGGCGCCAAGGTTGGAAGAGGCGTTCCTTGTAAGGCAACCGGGAGGGCTTAAGGGTAGACTACAGTTACGGCCCAACTAACAGGTGTAACTGGGATGAAATAACTCCTATATATAACTATTTGGTTATATATCGATACAAACCCAGTTATAACTCTTAAGGGCCACAACTGCATGACTATGGTAAACTGGCTACAACTAGGACTTGGGTTTCAGGATTTGCTGACCCAGTTTGAAACTGGGAGCGATATTTGCTCCAAACACTTTCAAACATAGCGATATGTAGAGTGTTTTTTTTGGCAATATTTACAGCTTACCCAAAGACCAATGGGTCAACCCGGGAAATGGAGACGTATGATAACTAGTTACCAAGTGGTGTTGGATGATCCTTCAAGTTATTTTGCCAAGAACATCTTATAGTCAAATATCACGCACTCGCGCCGCCCAGCAACATATAAGCCCCTCATCCATTTTTTCCTATCCATGACTATCCATGACTATCTACTACCCTCCCAGCTATTTTGAAGCTAGTCTCTGACGCTTCAATTTGGGCCTCTCAGCAACATCCGCCGCCACCAGAGCAAGGGCAAGGACGCACCAAACGCCACGTGCGAACATCATGGCGTGAAACGACCAACCGTTCTGCCGTGCCCACGGTGCCTTGAGCCACAAAACTTGCCATCTCCAGACTCCTCGGCAGACCCGGTGGTCAAAACCCTGAGTTCACATCCCCAGGATTCTGGGTTCCAAAAAATACATGTTTAAACAATACAACCAAATTGTGCTTGGAACTTAGCCCGTTATTGGCTCGGATGATCCGATATTCGAAGTTGGGATTGGCAATTGTGCCATGCGAAACGGTAGGTTGATCCGTTCACCAGCTGTCTGGACAAGTCCACCAAGATAGTGTTTGCAGAAGACAAGTTCATTCTCATTGGTACAGTATAATCCCATATTGACCTTGCATTGCTGGTTATAAACCCAGCAAGTGCCATTTTTCGGTACTGCCATCGCCCGGACCCAAATGCAATGTGGCACCTCTTAGTTACTGTATAAGTTCTCTTGTATATATTAAAAAAAAAAACTTAAAAATTAGAGTTATATCAAGTTATATCAGGTATATCGACCATAAATATCCATGTGCATGACCATAAAACATCATAAAACCATATAAAAACCTACGTATAGTAATCTGGTTTTTAACCAATCTACCATCTACCTATCTTGCTGGATCCAGGGCTGGTAAACTCATGGACCTCATCGGCTGAGCCCGGTGCCAGTTCTTCTTTCCTCACTTGTTCCTGGGCGACGACCATGGTCGATAACACTCGGGCAGCACAATGGATTTCTATTGGGAAAGTCCTCTATGTACCATAGATGGTGAATTTTCCAGAAGGCCACGCTTGATTAAAAGAGAATACTCTGAAAAAACGTTGGTTTACATATACATGGCATAAATATCATTAAATCGTTGGTTGTATACCCTCACAGAATACTATGATAGACAACATATAATATAGCACCCCCCAAACAAATGCTGAACAGTAGGTATAACCTCGACTACATAAAACCCTTGTGCTGGGCTTACTGTACACCAACCATACCATAGACCAACTCCATCCTGAGGCTATTGGGGTTATAACCACCAATCTGGATAAACCATCTGTGCATGAAAACAACTGTTTTTTTTGGCTACTTTCTGTGCATGAGCTATGGCATATTGGCTATGTGCATGAGCTATGGCATATTGGTTATCCGAGTGTATATCACATCCTGGCAATTTGCGCAGCAGTTACTAGAGCTGAAAGTTCGGCACCATTTACTGTCTGTCTGCTCCCCATTGACCCTGGCAGCGAAACAGGGAACCAAGGATTCTGGCATGACACCTGTGGCCAGGTATCGATTGGTTTGCTCCCTCCGTTTGTGGTCACTTTCTGCAATGTCGAGGATACCAGCATAGGCAGCATACTGTAACGTGTTGTTTCATGTGCCGGGTGTATGCAGCTTCCATCAGTATAAACATGAAAAGGCTGACGTTTCTGCGCACGCATCGCCAACAATGAAAATTGCTCATGGATAACCGGGAGCTGGTTGTAGTGGAGGTGATGAAACTGTTTGTTGTCCGGGTGTGTGGAAACCACCGGCATTTCACTGAAAGAAAAGCCTTCCATTTCCATCTTCTGGATGACCTGGTAAGGCTCTCTGACCTCTGCAGGTTCCATCGGCATCTTCTGTCCATCCGAAAAGTTTGGCCAGTTTAGGATATGAATAGTTGGCCCTAGTAACCATCATTTCCAGTGACGCCACAATGAGGTTGTTATAACAGGTTATAATATGTTATAACTATCCGGAATGATATGCTTGCCATTTATAAGTTGGCTTATAAACCCCATTAGCTAGTTCAATATGCAGTCTCCACCATAAGTTCTCCGCTAACGACCTGGGGTACCACCAATGATATGCACCACATCCACTAATATCCATGTATATTTCAATAGATTTCCAATTTCAATAGATCCTCATTGTCTGTTGGTTGTACCATCTTTGTTGATTAAATCACGTGGAATCTGCCATTTAAAATGTCCATGAATATCAATTGAATTCAACATATTCATCATATGTCATCATGTGTTGTTGGTTAAATCATGATCAAAATCCATACCCTCTGGTAAACTAACATAGCTATTGAAAATGGCCCATTGATAGTTGATTTACCTTTTAAAAAGGGTGATTTTCCATAGCTTTTTGTATGTTTACCAGAGGGTAACATCCACTGGATTCCAATGGCCAAGGCTCTACCTTTGCCTCCTGTCGCAGTTTCTCCTCGTCCTTTTGCGCGTCGTTCTGCTCTTTGGGTGCCTCATAGCCGCCCTCGCCGCTCTCTGCCTGCGATTGAAACCATGGTTTCGAAGGGAATTTCCACAGAATTGGAACCATAGAATGGGGCTGGAATAAATATGAATAGGGGGATGGGAGTAGTGGGCCCAGTGATAAATCTGGATCAATATGTGTGGTTACTATACACCAACCATGAAATATACTGTACCAGCTATACATCATGCAAGTCTTGGGCTTATGATCACCAGATCTGAATGAATATATAATAGTTCACCAACCAGAACTAAGGATATCTTGGGATAGTTGCCTCTGTTCACTATCATTCCAGTGACGTCACAGCGAGGTCCTTTTTTAAGCAGCGGAAACTGAAACCTACAAGAAACGTGGTTTGATGAGTATACAACAGGGAATACGCTGGTAAGATATCAAGTTTACATGTGCTAGTCGATCATACTAGATATGACAGAGGATATTAATATCCGATCTAGACAAATAGTCTATATATATAATGTACGTCACTATAGGGTGTGTCCAAGATAATGGGTATTGAAGTAAGCATGTCCTGCTTTATATAAATCAATCCATTGTTTGGGAGCTAGGTTTGTTTCGGCCAGAATTCAGGGCTTGAAGACCATCAGATTTATAGCTTACTGGTTATGGATCTAAAAGTCAAAACCTGGTACTCGGATGGTACCCATCCGTCATAGCTGGTATAGCTGGATGGTCATTAACCCAATCATGACTGGTAATTTCATACAATGTGGGGCCCCCAAACGATAGCTAAGCGGGTTTATAACTCCAATTTCACTATGGTTCATGACACCTAAATAACTATAGTTCATGGATCTTCCTTTTTTTAAACCAACGTTCTCATCACGCTTGGGGGCCCCACATTGTAACTTGACCCATCCCCTCACCGTCACCTTGGAGGCTTGCTGGCTGGCCAGCGCATCATTGGGCGGAAGAAAATTGAAGACAGGATGTAGCTCCTAGACCCGGAAATGGACGCGTTTTGGCAACGGGAAAATCATCGAAGTATTTTTCACGCGAAGATGTTCCAACTAGCATCAACTAGCCATGGTTGATTACCAAAGGGTACTTCGACATGGGTATGTTTATTTGTTATATTATTATTTTCTGTCATAAAATGCCATCAATTCTGCTATACATTTTGCATGGCAAGTGGGGGCCAGTAAACGTGGTTTAAATAAAACAACAATGGGTCTTTTTGCTCACACTTCAGATTGTGACCATATACAATGTAAGGCCCCCCAGTTATAAGTTGGTTTATAAGCCCCAGTAACTATAGTTATAAGTACCATAAACCATATTGAAAGTGGAGTTATAAACCAACTTAGCTATCTTGGGGGCCTCACATTGTAGGTAATGATAACAAAATTGCCATCGCTTACAATCTGGGCTTGCCGAGATATTTTTCGAATTGGTTCATTGAAAAAGAATATCTTGCGTTTTTAATTAGGAGTGAAGATTCTTACCAACCAACAAAACTGGGGATTTTGTTTTTATCATAAAATGCATATACAATTATATGTTGAAGCCACATATCCCTAATCTACCCATAATTTATCCATTCTCCCCAGGTAATCTATATATGTATATATTCTGTAACTGGGGGGGCGCGCTCTTTGTTCTGGTCAACTACGCAACTCGCCAGTTGCACAGACATAGAATTTAAGAATTATGTCCAAATGTATTTATTGGCTGATTCTTCTTGGTAAACATCTCTTTGTAGCAAAACATTGAGAAAAACAACAGTTTAACAGGGATATGATAGAGATGTAATGGGGATATATATATTATAATTCGTTATACAATAGACACCATCAACCAACCATATGTCACTGTACAATCCCATGAATTGAAAACGTTGGACCTTATTTAAAAATATCCTGTTCTATCCCCTTGGTCATCACCATATGTTTCTTAAACAATTCAAACCCTACAATATCTATAATATAAGATGTGTATATATATATATATTATATAATATTATATATGGGTGGTTTGTCATCCATATGGTTTTGTATATATATATATATATATGTGGGCCATATGGGGGTTGTCTGAGCAACATAATATACACAATTAAATCCATTGATTCGTTCATGGTTTTGTGCATCGCCGACGTGGGTGTGGCGGCGGCTGTGTGGTTTAAGCGAACACGGAGACGTCTCAAAAAACTGATTTTGGGAGAAGACAAAACAAGAAAAACCATGGTTTTGGGGGTTTTCGCATTTTAGGAAACCTCATGAAACCTCAATTTGCCAGGGATACCCTCTGGTACTGATTAACAGTTTGCTATTGAAAATGGTCCATTTATATAATTTACCTATCAAAAATGGTGATTTTCCATACTTATGTTAGTTCACCAGAGGGTATATGGTTTCCCAATATGACAACATCCCTACTGGTGCAGTTCCAGTGTAGATATGTAGCGATAGAGGGATTATATCCCAACCTCTCTGTGGCTTCTAGGATTCATCAAAAATCACCCAAGTATGATAGAAACATAGATGATACTTCGGTATGAGTCTCCGGGAGGACGTATTTGGGGTATGATTTAGAGGGGTAAAATACCGCCCTCAGGAGGTATTTGGACGAAAATTAGATATGGATGGGTCACACATGGGTGACCTTATCATGGTGAATCTTAGATACATGCAAAAAAAAATAGCTGGTGAGTACATTTTACAATTGACACCTACCACAAAAATAAATAAAGTACTATATAAGATATCTAAGCAAATTTGACTATGCTTGAC